CTGTGCTCGGTTTGAACTCGTGTCCTGTGAAACAAGGCTAATTGACTAATCTCTGTCTAACAACCCAGAGTTTGAACACAACCAAGGGATGCAGGAACGCAGATGACTTCCAAGGTGTCTTCTATCGCAGGCACATAATCCAGGAGGTCTTGGTATATCCCCTCCCCTGAGTCAGCCTCTAAGTCTTCCCTGGCCCTGTCAGACCATGCTGTTCCCCCACTGCATCCCCTGTGGCACTTTCTCCATCCTGACATTCATCACATTTGGTGGCAGTGGCTGCTCATTTGTCTGCCTTCCCCACCACACTGACAGCTCTGTGAGCGCAGGGGCAACGCTGTCCTGTTCACTCACATAGCGCCAGAGGTGTGCTGGTTCATGTGTGATCACCAGAGCTCTGGTGTGTGTGTGCATATGTGTGTCTATATTACACATACGTACATTAGTTGACTGTAAATTTTACTGCTATAAAATAGCTTATAATTTACAAATAATACACAGTGCTCTTTATCATAAAATCCATTTAGCCAAATGGTTCTCATAAAATGCCTTTATTAATTTCTGAACTCTTATATCTGTAGCCAACCTACAGTTGTGATTCAACTATGCTTTTACAGTTGGCATATGTCAGTCCTCTCATCCTTTTTCCAATAAGTTTACTGTCATTAAATCTATGTGATCTACTATTAAACTATTTCTAACACTCATACAAACTATAGTCATTGAGCAGAAGGCTCTTTCAGCTTCAACACTAGACTCAACACACTCTAAGTTTAATCTTCATTATTAATGTTTTCTCCATCACTTTAAGTCTAGACAGTCAACAAAACAAGAAATCAAGTTCTAATTAGTAATGTTTGCCAATTTCCATCGTGTAAATAGTCCCACCATGATTGATTTCAAGCTTCCAGTGTGACACCACTGAAGGCGGAGCTGGGGACAGATGTGCAGTAGCTGTCATTGCACAGGATTTCCACTGTACAGATACCGTGATACAGTAGCCTGAGAGCATAGATAATGGTAAATGTAATCAAATAATAGGAATAGTTGAGTTTTGACATTAAGTACCTTTGGTTTTTTGGGGGTTTTTTTTGTCTTTTTCGTGACTGGTAAGGGGATCACAACCCTTGGTGTGGTGTCGCCCGCACCGCGCTCAGCCGGTGAGCACACCGGCCAGTCCTATGTAGGATCCGAACCCGTGGCGGGAGTGTCGCTGCGCTCCCAGCACCACACTCACCTGAGTGCGCCATGGGGCGGGCCCAAGTACCTTTGTTTTTAATGTGTTTGTTTAAATTGATTTTTTTTTTTTTTGGTCCTTTTTGAGACCGGCCGCACCGCACTCAGCCAGTGAGCGCTGTGAGCGCACTGGTCATCCCTATATAGGATCCGAACCCACAGCGGGAGCACTGCCGCGCTCCCAGCGCCGCACTCTCCCGAGTGCGCCACGGGCTCGGCCCTAATTTGATTTTTAATAATGTATATAACAACTGACTTGCAAAATTCCTGAAAATGGGCTCTCATGAGTCACATCCAGCAAACACACCGCTGCTGTTATCAGCAAAGCCAGTATGTTACGGGTGTGCATGAGTATTTGCTGAATCAGTGAAAGAATGATCCATTTCCCCGTCTGCAGAGTGGGCTTGACTGAATCCCTGAGATCCTTTCCAGTTCTCACACTCCCGATACTTGAGATCCCCATTAGGGAAGTATGTGTTGTGTTTGCATTTGCAGAAGATGTGTGGGACATTGGCAGTTTTCTATTGGGATCAACGAATAGATAAGGAAAAGTGGCAGGGAACTGAATCCTCAGGAAATTTCTAAGTAGCCATGCCAGGCTTGCCTCTGGAAGCCCCCTCCCAGGCATCCAGTACTGCACTGCATGCTCTGAGGTTGTCACACAGCCGAGCCTGGGGACCAGTTGGAGGCTTTGCAGTGACAGCAGGAAGGCCAGGGGATGCAGGGCCTAGAATGCCAGGCAGCTCAGTAATGTTTTCTCTTTCTTTCTAGTCGGATATATACTTCACAGCCACTGCAGCTGTGGGTGAGGTCTCACCTGGAAGCAGCTCCAAGGGGGCTAGTGCCCACAGTTCTCCCCAGACACCCCCGGGCCGAGAGACTCCAGTATTTCCTTCTTCCCTGGGGGAAGGTGAAGTCCAGTGTTTACTGTCTTATTAATGGATAAGTTTAATCCTTTCTGATTTCTCCAGTTCATTTTCAATTATCTACATGTAATTACTGCCTAAAGAAATTATTACTTAAAGCCATTAAAAAAAAAAAAAAACCTTGCAATCTGAATGCATTGGTTGCATTTTTAAGAAACCTTGTGATAACAAAAACAGAAAAATCCTATTATGAAAAATAACAAAAACAGAAAAATCCTATTATGAAAAAAATCATTTCAATGGGGAGAGGAGAGTTTAGGGCTAAAGTTTCCAACTTGCAACAGCAGTTATTTATTATTCCTTCAGGGATGTTAGCAACAGTGGGTTTTCACAACTAAAAATATATAGCCATGAAGCCTAAACATTGCTCGGCACACCCGGTCTTTCACTCATCTGGCTTTGCCCTGGAACCCAGAGGCTTGGTTGTGTTTACCCCATCGCCTGAACACAGCACTTTCTGTAACTTCTTACACATCAGGTGTCTTTATTGCTGGTTGTTAAGATAAAGCACAGGGCTCCCGAAGCAGGGCAGCCTTTTGCTTCTCTAATCTTTTTTCCTGTGCAAGCATAACCGGCAATGAGTGCAGTTTATCTAATTACACATGAAAATGATGCTCTTAGAAAATGCAAAGCCATCAGGCATCGTCACTTTTTTTTTTTTTTTTTTTTTTGTCTTTTTCGTGACCGGTAAGGGGATCGCAACCCTTGGTGTGGTGTCACCCACACCGCGCTCAGCCAGTGAGCGCACCGGCCATTCCCATATAGGATCCGAACCCGCGGCGGGAGCGTTGCTGCGCTCCCAGCGCCGCACTCTCCCAAGTGTGCCACGGGCTCGGCCCAGGCATCGTCACTTTATTGCTCCCAGCCAACCCTCCTAACAGGACCTAGGAGATCGGCGTGTGACATAAAGTCTCCCTTTGTGCTAACCATGTGGAGGAACAAGAAATTACTCTCTTGTAAATAATATGAACTTTTCTTAAAGTTCTGATGTTCTTTTCTAAATCATTGATTTCAGGTGAAATTCAGTCAAAAAATCTGTACAAGATTCCACTTAGAAACCTTGTGGGCAGAAGCATCGAGCGACCTCTGAAATCGCCCTTGGTCTCCAAGGTCATCACCCCGCCCACTTCCATCAGTGTTGGCATCGCTGCCATTCCTGTCACTCACTCCTTGTCTTTGTCTCGCATGGAGATTAAAGAAATAGCAAGCAGGACCCGCAGGGAGCTGCTAGGTAATGGCTTTCAACTTTTGTTTCCACTGTTTGTAAACAGACCAGCTGGTTTTATCTTTGGATGTTAACAATCCTCAGAAACAATGAGTTAAAAAAGAAACTCCCTTAAAGAAAAGATTTATAGGTATAGCCCATCACCAAGGAGTACCATACTGTGTACAACGATGTTGTTGGTCTATATTTATTGGAATGGAAAGCTGCCCAAACCATGTTGAGGGGCAAAACAGGCAGTCTATAAAACAGTATGTCTAGTCTGATACTACTTTTTAAAATAAAAGTGTCTGTATATGTATGATATCTTAGAAAAGTGTCTAGAAGGATTTACATCCTGCAGTTTTCAGGTAACGTTTTATATTAGTAGGTCCGAAAGTAGAAATTTACTGTGTGTTTGCAGATGCGTGTTTCAGTCCACCTATCATTTCTCTCAGCCCTGGACATGGGGCGGGTCTGTGGGCTGGTACAGATGAAAGACATTTGTCATGCCCTTCTCCCCTTAAAATGCAGGTGGGAAGACAAACCAGAGAAACCTAAAGCATCATGATAATTGTGAAAAGCCTAAACTGTTATAAAGCATTTTGTTTGTATTTATGGGAACAAAACAAGGAAAAATGGAAGTGACATGTTAAACCAGTACAAACTGGTTTGAAAATTTGGATTGGGATCTGAGTGGCAGTGTTGGACAGGTGGCAAGGACAGTTGGCCTTAGCACATCCCTGCCCCACAGTAATGTTTCCTGAATACTGGAGAAAGGGATTCGGTCCACCTGACAGGGCAGGCTTTGACACTGACAAAGTCAGTTGGTGCCTTCCACTATGTTTTTAAATTTTATTTAAAATGTGTGTTATTTTTGTTATTTTTAACCCACTCTTCCATTTAAAAGTTTAATCTGCCAACCACTGTTTTCAAAACTACTGTGCTTTTCAGAAACTGAACCTCTGAGTTGGAGAATTACAGGGTTACCAGTGGTAGGATTGTAGGAGACTTTATCTCCTTCATTAGACTCTTTGGAGTCTTTTTTTTTTTTTTTGCAATGCATCCATACCTTACAATCAGAAAAACCTTCCACCAACAAGAAAAACAATTATTTGAAAATATATATTCTATCATCTTTCTTTCTGACGCTGGCCCAATAATGCACCAATTCCCAGTCAAGGAAAAAAGGGCATTTTCTGTCTCTATGGTAGCCCAGTGGTAATGACCCTCTGACCTACGATTCTCCCATGCAATCCAGGCCTCTCAGATGAAGGTGGACCCAGACCAGAAGGAGCACCAAAGGCCAAACCAAAAACTTGGAAGCGCTTAGAAGAAAGCCAAGGAGGCCCCAAGCCAGGGGCAGTGAGGTCAACTAGCAGTGACAGGTAAAGAGGGGTAGTGGCCTGCTCAGGGTGATGGCCCTGTGAGTCACAGCACTACCCAGGAGGCCCTTTCTGCTGATGGATGTCATGGGCCGGCCCCTTTGGTCAGCCACAACAAAGGGCCAGAATCCACCTTCTCTGTGAGGATCCCCAGAGGACACATTCTGCCAAGGAGGGGCCTAAACAAATGGGCAACCTCACTAGCAATCAAACAAATGCTCATTTAAATATAGTAAGAGACTTTTTTCCTCATCATCAGATCAAGGGAGATTTTTAATAATTAAAATCCTTGATAAGAGCACAGGGAAATCGGCCCTCTCCAATACTGGTCAGCAGGCAAACAGGTGCAGCCTTTCTGAATGGCAGTTCAGTGTCACTTGTCGATGAACATTTGCTGAACCACACTGATTTGTCCCATAAGATCTCTTGCTTGTCCTTCAAGCTGCATCATGCATGCTCCTGTGTGTGGAGGGTAACGAGCACAGGTTGAAGCTTCATTTATTCATTCACTCAACACACATTCTTGGAGCACCCAGCACTGAACTGAGTGTTGGGCTGTGGAGATGACTAAGCCCCCATTTGTGCCTTCAGGTGGTTCACAGGCCAGTAGAGAAGGCCACCAAGGGCCCAGGCAATTGCTGCATTCCAGGGTAGCAGGTAAGGCAGAGAAATGAAAGATGACATCCACACCTGGGGCAGGAGGGGTCTCAAATATCAGGAATGGCTGAACCACCTCTCGTAAGTCCAGTAGGCAGAAGCCCCACCCTGTGAGTGCTTTAATGGCAAGGTCCTGTCCTCAGGGACTTTACATTCTAGCTGGAGAAATAGACAATAAACCTGTAAAGAAATAAGCATTTAAGTCATTTCAAATGATGATAAGTGCTATAAAAAAATTCAAAGTAGATAAGTGATGGGGTAGCAGGTAGGTCTGCTTTGAGAGTCAGGTAACAGAAGGCTTTTTGAGGAAGTGCATTGACTGGGCTTGGAATGCACGATGGGCAGCTAGGGGAACAGCCCATCTGAGGAAGAGAAGGAGGCCCTGAAGCAGACACCATCAAGAGACAGAAGGAAGAGTGGGTGGCCTGGAGCACAGAGAATGGAGCTGGGAAGTATGTGAGGTCGAGAGTGGGCAGAGGACGGGCCAGGTGGGCTTTACCAGGCCAATGAGTATTTGCTGAATACATGAGCTCCCTGAGAAGTGGAGACTAATTTTGGTCAAATTAACTATGCAACTATCAAGAGAGAGTCCCAATAGCTGGAGAACGTAGAGGAAGTGGGGGGTGGCCTGGGAAGCCAGAGAGGTCAGCAGGCCAGGTCTGGGAACTTTGGCTGTGGATAGTAGTTTCAGCCTTATCTTCAGGCCATGGGCAGCCACAGGAGGGTTTTAGGCAGTGACATTATCTGGATTTGCACTTTTGAAAGGTAAATAATGCCTCGGAACACCTTCTGTATGTCACTCACCTGGCCTTTAATCCTCACAGCAATCCCAGGAGCTAGGGCTTTCTGACCGCAGAGCCTGGGGGGCGGGGTTGGGGGAGTTGAGGGACGGGTGGGTGGAATCCCTACATTCACCCACCTCTCCCACATAACAGGCAGGGTTTGGGGAGATAAGCTTAGGAGATCAGGTGAGCCCGAAATTGCTACATGGAATAGGCCCAGTTCCATGATGGCAGTGACTTTTCTCCTCTAGGATCCCGTCAAGCTCCTTGGAAAGTCCTTCTACTTCTGAAGCCAATCCCGAGGACCACGACCCTGTGGCAGACAGAGAGGGCAGCCCGGTGTCGGTGTTGGTGTCGGTGTCTGGCAGCAGTCCCTTTCAGCTTGTCACTTCCTCGGATGAAGACATCATTGACTTGAAGTAATCAGAGTCCAAATCTCGTTTGCCATCTTTAGTTTTCTGATGGAAGTTTATACTCTTTAAACAGTTCCAACATCATTTCTTGACAAAATGTGGCTCTTATTCTGTCAGTGATCTATTGGACCAAAACTTCTGCATACTTGGCCAGTTTGGGTTACCCTCCAGTGTCCGGTGCCATCTTTCTTGACCTTTGTTTCTTTCTGTTCAGGAGCCATCAGTCCCCTTGTAATAAAGGTGGTAGATTTCATTGAGGTTTTAGATTGAAACTTTGAATAAATCAAAAATGTTCATTCTTATTTACTGCAACCTTCTCATATTTTATATAGTTAGATGAAAAACTACTTTTTCATTACAGTTTTATGTCACATAATGTGTTACTTTTATAAAGAGAAGCCATTGCTTTTTAAATTTATGATAAATAAGTTTTCTTTCTGCAAGTCTGGCCCCATTGCTGTTTCAGTTCACTGTGATTGGAACCAGCTGTGCTCCTGCCTATAGCTGCTTTTGAGAAAAGCCAAATGGTTAGATCTCAGAGGCTCCTCCTCCTCTCTCCTTGTATCTTATGAAAAATAATAAGGTATAGGAGCTTGTCAAGTCTTCAGGTTATTTTTTCTGTTGTATTATTACTCTGAAATCATATAACCAGGGAGCAGGTACTCCTTGTGATTGAAAATAATCTCAAATTCCTTCCTCGTTTGGGTTTGCCTTGCGCTTTCATCGAAACCAATGATTACCTTTCCTCCTCTTTATCTGCTCCCTGGCTCCCTCGTCAAAGTGAGCAGAAAGAAATGTGGGTTGGGCCAAGTGCAAATTAAATAGTGAAATGTCACCCCTAGCCAGTGGAGCCCAAAGGGGGAAAATCCAATTTCACTGACACTGTTCATGATAATTTTAATGTGTGAGAAGGTAATTTACCTGTGGCTTTAGTCCAGCTGATTCCATTTTATTATAACTCTTCTTGCCTATATTACCCATCAAAAGAAATATTCAATGATTTAACCCTGTTAAAGCAGCTCTGAAGAGTTCTTCTGCAGGTCTTCGTATAAGCACAGAGAATAGTGTTTGACAGGACCTGGATCTGACAGATTTTACGGAAGTTTGACTCCAGGCACCGTGCAGGCCTTGCACGCTGTGGGGAGAAGCTCCCCTCCCTGCCTTTTGCACAAACAGTTCACTGTGGTGAGGCCAAGCCGAAGCTGCCCAGTTCCTCTTGAGCAGGAGGCAACAGTATAAGAAACCATGCTTTTCAGGTGCGTCCATGTGGGGCTGTCTGTCACAAGTGTGTTTTCTCATATTCTTTGTGGCATTATCATTCCCATTCTCCCTCTGTTTTGCTATATGCCCTTTCTGTATTAGGGGAAGAAATGCAAGATCAGTTACTGTATTTCGACTCCACTAACAGCTTAATGAATTAGGTCTTATTATTCTTGCTTTTCAAACAAGGAAACTGGGGCTAGGAAGGTGCACTGATTTGAGCCTGAGAGTTCTTTGATTCGTGAGCCCTTGCTCTCTTCCCGTCTGCCTCACAGAGCCAGGCTGAGTACCTTGTATCAGTTGCATTTGGCTGGTGTTTCATGTTATACTAATGTGTAAGCTCTGTGAGCTTGTATCTGTGTTTTTCCTGTCGTCTTTTTTCCCCTTAAGTTTCTCAGCCTGGAATAGAAAAACCACGGGCTGTTTAGAATATTTTTCCAAATTGGCAGCGTTAGGGCCACCCACGATTTGACAAGAGTCATGTATCTGAGGAGTGAATGAAGAGAGGACAAGAGATGGGCCCTTGTAATCAGGCTGATGGCTCTTTGCTTATAAAAATGGGCTCTTTTGGCAATAACATCTGCTTACAAAGTCCAGGACGTGAAATCTGCACACTCATGGGGAGGGAGCCCACCAGCCAGAGGCCAGGAACAGGTCTGTCCATGGCTCAGAGGGCTGTCTGGCACTCTGGGCTCACTGGAGCATCCTGTGTACATAAGCTTCTCCATGTGCCTGACCGAGCTATAAAGTAAACAGTCTAACTGCAGCAGTTTGCCCATGAAGTGTGAGGCATTCAGCTACTGCAAACACCAAGTGCCTACTGCCTAGAGGAGGTCATGTCCATTGGGGAAGGAGCGAAGTAAACACATGATTACAAAGCAGTGAAAAGTGCTGTGAAAAGACTTTCTAACTCAACTCTGTGTGGGCCAGCAAAAGAAAAAATAAAAAGTATAACTCAAGCACAAGGTGCTGTGTAAGCACATAGGAGCAGTTGCCTAAGATGGTCTTGTGATCAAGATTGAAAAGTGTTGGTTGCTAGTACAATCAGGTGACCGAAATAGGTTAAACTGTCATAATCATACCGGCTGGCCTTTGAGTGCTCTGCATGTGTTTGGTCTCATATACATGACCCTGTCCACAACTCTCCTGGAAGATAATTATCTTCCCCACATAGAGATGAGGGAACAGATGCCCAGAGGGGGATTAGAAGCCAAGCCTCTTACTCTCACAGCCCTGGTTCTTTCCAGACTCACACCAGCACTCCACTGCAGCTGCCTGCACACAGTGTTGGGTATGAATTGGGTACAAATGGCGAGATCCTCTGGAGCCTCATCATCCTCACCTCCAGCGGTGACTTGGGTGCACACGTGCAGAGGTTGACTATTAAAATCGCAGGGGACTAAACGCTGGGAGGTAGTAAAGTGAAGATCGAAGTCAGGATTACCTACCTGTGAAGTGAGGGGAACTCACCGTTTAAGCCCAGGTCAGTTACAAGCAACATGGGGGACCCCGCCTAACACTGGTCCTCAGCACCTGGAGGTCCTAGTAGGCGGCGGCTCTGTAGCCATCAGCAACGTGGGAGGCACTGAGGCGGGCTCTGGAGCGCAGGGCCACGTTCCCGCCCCCCGCAGTCCCGCGGGAGTGCCAGGCCAGTCTAGGCCTTCGAGAGGAGAGGGAGGGGGCCCAGTACAGTCTACGTGGAGACCTTCCACCTTGCAGCTCTCCGGGGACAGAACTGGGCCAGGCAGAGAAGTCAGGCGCCACCAACACAGGCCCCACAGTAAGAACTGCGGACCCCATCAGAAAAGACGTTCGCAGCCGCGAGCGGTGGGGGCGGGAAGTCCCGGGCGGTGGGCCACGTGCTCCGCCTTCGTCCCGCTCCTACCCTCATTGGTTGGAGCTAGATAGAGAGGCGGCCCCAGGCAAAAAAAAAATTTTGGGCCGGCCCGGTGGCGCACTGTGCTAGTGCGCCGCTTGGGAAGCGCGGCGGCGCTCCCGCCGAGGGTTCGGATCCCACATACGGACCGGTTCCCGCTCACTGGCTGGGCGAGGCGCGGGGGCAACACCGAGGGTTGCGATCCCGTTGCCGGTCCCGGTCCGGTGC